AGAGAGAGAGAGAGAGAGAGAGATTAATGGGTATCCTTGTCATAGGAGGGGATTTCCTCCTTGACGCCTCTAAAATCACATGATTGAGCGACATTGTGGATGATCCGCTCCGTTGAACTTGATCTATATATTCTAAAACCCCAACACACCAAGTTTGGGGTGAACCCGTCGTCATTTGACCCTTCATCCACTCGTATCAATTTTAACGGTTTTGAATGAATAGAACTTTTCACATGGCACGATGGAGGGTCAAACGACGACGGATTCACCCCAAACTTGGTGTGTTGGTGTTTTAGTATATGTAGATCAAGTTCAACGGAGCGGATCATCCACAATGTAGCCCAATCATGTGATTTTAGAGGCGTCATAGGAAGACATCCCCTCATATGACAAGGATACCCATTAATCTCATAGAGAATGAGATTAACTCCTTGTCATAGGAGGGGATTTCCTCCTTGACGCCTCTAAAATCACATGATTGAGCGACATTATGAGGACTTATTCTAATAATAATTCTTTAAATTAACTTAATTTTAGTCACAATTTTCTCACACGTACTTGCATATAGTGATACATACGTTTGGAAGTGTGCCGAAGCATGTGTATCTCGCTTAGATGCTTATAGACTTTTAACAGGAGGTGAACTCAGTGACGATGTAAGTGCTAAATTGTGTCATGGTTGGTGGTTGATGTTGTATATATTAGTTATAAATATTTCACTCATTCATGGTAATTTTTGTAGGTCATCGATGCATTTGTTATTCGACTTTGTTATAAGATTGAGACAACTAATAGTTATGATCGAAAAATACATGTTACGAGACCTTGGCTTGCAGTAAGTATATCCCTGTTTTTTCATTGGATGTTGGTATTTATTATTATGTTTCCTTACATGGTTTACATTGATGCCTCTTTGTAGCAAGCATTTCTGAAAGGAAATATTGAAATGATGGCAAAACGAATGAAGGAAAATGTTTCTCAGCAGAAGTTTTGTGAGTGTGAAATGATACTCATTATATATATATATATATAGGTGAAAACTTGTGTCAACTTAAGTGGATAGGGAATAGTGTGTCCACCAAAGTTTTTAACCACTCATATTGCCTAGGGATCCTTGTATTATATAAAAGGTGTTTTATATTAATAAATGTGTGGCTACAAACTTTGGTGGATATCAACTTAAGTTGATAGGTATATATATATATATATATGATAAAGGGAGAATAGGACACATCTTGTATAAAAGGAGAGATTCTCCGTCGTCATCCAGCTAAAGATAGGAGAATAAATAATGTTTTACATAAAAAAATCGTTTCATTAACCCACTCTCCATGTTCCCTCTTCATTAACCCACTCTCCATGTTCCCTATACACACCTTTTTCATGCGTCTCTCTCAAGCAAAATCATGAAATTTCAAGTAGACCAAAAACCTATTAAGTTGTTGTTTTTTTTTTTTTTGAGAAAAACCAGGGATATACCCTGTTCATTAAAATCAAAAGTATGTTTACAAAAGTAGGATACGAACTATATCCGTATAGATTAGTGGATAGAAAAAATAATTTCTATTTCTAGGGATGTAGGACCTTCTTCTTACAAACCTCCATGAAGATGAAGAGAGGGCATTGCCGTCATTCACCGTTGACATGGATATAAGTAAGAATCAAAGCCAGCCATACATTTGGACAAGAGAAATTAAATTTTCTATAGACTAATTAAAACTAACAATAAAACATCAAAACACCATAATGTTGATATGTACAAAAGACATTAGAAATACTAAGAGAAAGCTGATATGACGAGCTAAATACTGTTGCTCCGCAAGATTGGTCTTTCTTCTAAAACTGCTGCTAGCTTAAGTGCCTTCTTCCCTCTTCCAGAACCTGACCATTCATGTAAGTTAGAAATCGCTGAGTTGATGATAGAAGTAGCAGAGAATAAGGAATTTTTAAAAATAAATTTATTTCTTGATGTCCATAAAGTCCAACACACTACAGTGAAAATTGATTGCCATAAAACCCCATCAGAGTAACGAAGAGATTCAACAGACTTGAGGAGTTCGTATAAAGATGTTGGCCATATGAAAGGGAGGTAGGAGTCACAAAAATGTTTCCATACTGATTTGGTAAAACTACATTCAAAGAACAAGTGTTCACAAGATTCAAAATATATACCACATAAAATGCATGTAGAATCCCCTTGCCATCCTTTCTTTATAAGATTTTCTTTTGTATGCAACCTGTTAATAGATAAAAGCCATGTGAAAAACTGGAATTTACTTGGCATGACTGGATTCCAAACATTTTTATAATAAGCATACAAAATTCCTCTGGTGTTAAGGAAAGAATAATGGGATTTGACCGAGAATCTCCCATTGGTTGTAAGGGACCAGGTGGGTATGTCAACATTGTTAGTAACAATGTGTAAGCCAATATGATTTATAAGATCAATCTTTGCAGAGGATGAAGAATCAGTGATTCTTCTCTTAAGAAGAAGATGCCAGCGCCATATATGATTATGGAAAAAACCCTGAGAACGAATGCTGACATTTGTAGACAGTGATAGTTTATATAAAATCGGATATAGACTTGATAAGGTGTTACTACCAATCCATTTATCTTCCCAAAATCTAATTTTGTCACCAGAACCAAGAGCCCATTGTAGAAGATGTAGAAATAAATCTTTGATTGATATGATATCATTCCAAAACATAGAATTTGAAGAACTGCAGGTAGATGATTGCAACTGAGAATCTTTTCTGATATAAAGTTGATGTAAGAGAGTTCCAATTAAAGAGTCTAGCTATCAAGACATTTCCATAACCATTTAGATAAGAGAGCATTATTAAAAAATTTGAGGTCATTCACACCCAATCCTCCCTCAAATTTACTTAGACACACTGTCTTCCAATTTACTAAGCACTTGAAAGGTCTAGAAAATTTTTTGCCAGTCCATAGGAAATTCTTTCTAATTTTATCCACCTCTTTAATCACCCATGATGGTAATTTGTAGAAAGACATATAATATAAAGGAATAGATGAAAGAACCGAGTTGAGCAAAACAAGTCTACCACCAAAGGATAAACATGAACTTTTCCAAGAAGCAAGTTTCCTATACAGAGTTGAGCAAAACAAGTCTACCACCAAAGGATAAACATGAACTTTTCCAAGAAGCAAGTTTCCTATACATATTATCCAACATAGGTTGCCAATCCAAAGGATAAACATGAACTTTTCCAAGAAGCAAGTTTCCTATACATATTATCCAACATAGGTTGCCAATTAGATTTTGCTAATTTACCATACTTTAGAGGAAATCCTAAATATCGAATAGGAAGATGATCAAGTTTGCAATTCATGGAAGCAACAAGAGTTTGTCCTCTATTATGCAATTTACCGAAGTAAATAAGAGAAGATTTGGAGAAATTGATACCCAACCCTGAAATATCTTCAAAAATATATAAAATAGCCTTTAAAGGATATGTCATTCTTGGTACTTCTGACAAAAAGAAGAGTATCGTCTGCAAATTGGAGGCTCCTAATTTGGTTGAGAGGTTCCTTAATGCCAAGGTTGGATAATAAACCCTCTTCCACATTGTGTCTAATCATCTTGCACAAGACATCAACTACAATATTAAAAAGCAAAGGAGATAAAGGGTCTCCTTGTTTGAGCTCTCTTTTGCATTTGAAAGATTTTGAGGGGGATCCATTGACAAGAACAGCACAATTTGATGTAGAAATAATATTGTAGATCCATGAACACCATTTTTGACCAAAACCTCGTACTTTGAGTAAATTAATAAGGAAGTCCCAGTTAATAGAATCAAAAGCTTTTGCAAAATCGATCTTGACCATGGCCACATCCTTCTTCCTTTTAGAACAAAAATGAATCATTTCATTTGCAACAGTTATAGAATCAAGAGTTGATTTACCAGATTGGAAAGTTGATTGTGTAGGAGCAACCAAGTCGTTCATATATGGAGCTAATCTGTTAGATAAAATTTTTGTAAAGATTTTGAAGATACAGTTGATAAGGCTGATTGGCCGAAAGTCCTTGACTGAGAGATTCCCTTTAATTTTAGGGATAAGAGTGATAAGAACTCTATTCACCCTATGCAGTGATGAAGGATTTATAGAAAACCAATTCATGAGATCAACAATATCATGATGTAAAAGATCCCAGAAAGATTGGTAGAAGAGCAAAGAGAAGCCATCAGGACCTGGAGATTTATTAGGGTTCATACTGAAAACTGCTTGCTTAATCTCTTCATCTGTAAAATCTGCATCTAGAGCTAGAAGATTCTGATTTTTGGAAGGATACAAGAAATTCCAGTTAACTGTCATGTTGCTATTGTTTTCTTGTCCAAAAAGATTGTGGTAAAAGTCATAAAAAACTTTAGATATTTCCCCATTGTCAGCAATTTCAGAACCCATGTGATTAATAGCAACAATGTGATTTGATCTTTTATGAATGGATGTTGTTCTATGAAAAAAGGACGTATTAGCATCACCTTCTTTCAACCATTGAATATGAGATCTTTGATGCCAATAAGATTCTTCTTCTTGGATGATAGAAGCAAAAGAAGATTGAAAAGCTTTCCTCTCATCTAATTCTGCAGGGGATAAAGATCTTTGCTCTTCAATAAGGTCAATTGAATGGATTTTAGATAACAAAGTATTGGATGATAAAAACCTATTAAGTTGTTATGATATAAATTACCAAAAGAAATAAAAATCTTGTAATATGATGAAATAAGATTATAGTAATATGGGGTTTTTATTTTTTATTTTTACTGGAACTTATTAGTAATCGTTTCTCTCATGCATGGACTTACTAATGGAGCTTACTATTATTAGTAACATGGGATTTTTCTAACAATGAGTACTAGGTACGGTTTTTGAACTCTTAATTTCCGTTCAATTTTGAATGAATAGCTAAATAGATTCTTATCATGTGATCTTACCACCCATTATGACATGATAAAATAAGGATTGGGATTTACAAAATGATTTTTGAGTAAAGGATTAATACAATGATTAGTAAATAAGACAATACTTGTTATCATCCACAGAATCCATCAATTTAAAACAAACTAAAAGAATAAGCAGAAAGCTTATGACTTATGGTCCGATAAGAATGAGTAAATTAGTAATAATTTTTTAAATTCTTAATTTTTTGTGTTCCAATTATACAATCGACTATTTTAAATGAAGCGATTATATGTCAGACGAAGAATAATAAGAAATTTCTTCTTTGCGTAACATCTCTCTGAATAAATTTGTAAGAGCTACTCTTTATAAAGCCTAGAAATCTTCTACATTATTGGTCGTGGAGGAATCTATAACTCATCTGTGACACATCTTCATTTAGTGGACCTCATAAATGATATTCTTTGGCTCTGTTTGACAAAACTAGCTAAAAGCTGCGAGATTATAGCTGAAAGCTGTGAAATTATAGCTGAAAGCTGATAGCTGTGTAGCTAGCTGATTGAAGTAGAGCTGTTTGGCAAAAGTAGCTGTACAACTAGCTTAAATTTGTTAAATGACTAAAACATAGCTCCAACAATACAATCGTAAATCGTTTGTCTAGTTAAATGTCTTTCCCTCTACATCATTAGTACCTTTGTTTTTTTGATTGTCCACAACATCATTACTTGATTCCATCTATAATATAGAAAAAACACACATTATAATACTACTTCAATGTTTTTAAGAATTAAAAGAAAATCTAGATAATTTGTTCTATTTCATTTGAAACAAACACAAAAAAAATAGAACTAAAGCAACATTTCTAATCATAATTCTATAAATAATGGGATGGACAGAACCGAGATCAAAGAAGCCCCAAACCCAGCCTAGAATTCCCATTAAACAAACAACCTAGAATTCCCATTAAACAATCTTCACAAAATTAGCAAAACGAATCAGAACCATAATGGCTACCAAATCGAAACAGAAGAGAAAAAAATTGAAACAGTTAAAATAAAAGATAAAATTTTGCAAAATT